GATCAGTTTGGACTCGGGAGGCAGAGAATGGATGTGGGCAGGGCCAGTCAGAGGTGGTATTTACCGGTTCTCGGCACTACTCAAAGTTTCCACTTCTGGTTCTCCAGAACTGGTCAGAACCTGATGAATGCCACCTCTGGTTGGGATCTTTGTTGCTAGGATCCTCAGTTGCTGGTTTGAGCTATCTGGACAGAGTTCCTTCAATTGCCACTATCAAATGAACTTCAGCCAGTGGCTACAAGATAGAGGGCCTATTTGTGAAATATCCTCCCTAAAGAGGCCCGCCTGAAAATCACTCACTGTCTCTTCAGCAACAAAACATTCTTCTTTTCCCTGGCATCTTACATGTAAATATTTATATTGTACAAGTATTTGCAATTTGTAAGTAACAGAATCAATGAGTGTGCACATAACAGTTGCCACAAGGATTCCAGCAGAGATTGTCCAGTGATTGGCTGCTCTGAACCAAATTTGGAGACCTGACAACCCATCAAGATGATCCATCCTGGTATCCTAATTAACGCAATCAGTGCATTCTAAAGCATTTGCATGGAAGATCATAAAATATGATACAGGTAGCCCTTAACCTACGATCACAGTTGAGCCCAAAATTTCTATTGCTAAGTGAGACGTTTATTAAATGAGTGATGCCCCATTTTATGACCTTTCCTGCCACAGTTAAGTGAATCAGTGCACCTGTTAAGTTAGTGACACAGTTGCTAAGTGAATCTGGCTTCTCCATTGACTTTGCTTGTCGGAAGTCTGCAAAAGGTGATCACATGACCCTGGGACATTGCAACCATCATAAACCTGAGTCAGTCGCCAAGCGTCTGAATTTTGGTCACATGATCATGGGGATACTGTGTGTTATAAATGTGAAAAACTGTCATCATTCTTTTCAGTGATGTTGTAACTTTGAGTGGTCACTAAATGAACTGTTGTAAGTCAAGGACTACCTGTATTCACTAAGCCCATTTATAGTGACTGTCTGGTTGATGGATGCTTCTGACTGTTCACACAGAGCAGCCCTTCCCCAACCTGATGCACTACAGTCACACTGTTGCAACAACATCCAGAGTTGGCTTTGAGCTGGAATCCCTTATATCTGGAAAAGCCTTCACTAGATTTGGCAAGCCAAATTTGGGGAAAGTCCATGATACTCCTGAATATTACTGCATCCACAGTGCAGTACTTAACCTTCAACCCTAGGAAGTTGATTCATTTGGTGTGCTGGCATAAGACGCAGATCATGTATTCCTGTTTCTCAGTATGCAATTGTGTGTGTGTGTTATTATGTGCATCAAATTAATTTATGCCTAGTAAGGTGCCTACATAATTCTTTATCAACCACATATTTATTTATAGATGATTATAGTTGATGGACAGCTTTGCAGTCAATCATTATGTTTTACATTGTCTTTTAGGCTGCAAATCCCCTTCAAGGCAATTGGGAGGCAAATGATAAATGCACAAATTAATCCCACTGACCATTGTAGTGTTAATTAAGTATCCCTACCTTCCAATAATACTAAAAAAAATACTGCAGTTCCCACAGCCATACAGGTTAAAAAAAGATAAGGCTGAAACTCTGAGGATTTTCTTAAAGGCTTACACCAATGGAAATAGATGAACATCAGTTGACAATGAATTCCAAAAATCTGGAGCCATTGCAGATAAATATGCATGCCTCACCCCTGAAACTGCCTGTTCTCAGAGACAGGGGACTAAAATAAGCTACTGTTGCTGATTACAAAGGGAAGTCAGATTAATAGGGATAGTCGTTCAGAAAACTAGACTTTTCCCCAACTAAATCAGCCTTTTAGCTGAGCATTGACAATATTAAGAGTTCTATGAACCAATGCCTAGTGAGAAGACTCAGTTCTGCATTAACTGAAATTTCTTAACTTCCTTTAAAGCATTACACTAGTTCAGCCTGACTCTCATTGCTCCGTTGATATGCCAGGCACAGACTTACCTGATTTCTTGTACTGCCACTTCAGAGGTGCTGCTGAGGCCATCTTCTGTCTGGGACCTCAGCTGTCTCTCACGTTCCCTTCGACGTCGCTCCCTTGCAGCTTCCTCCTCATCCTCCACACTCCATTGAGCTGTCAACCTACCAGTCAGAGAGAAACCCCATGGATATGTACTTAGTATTTGCTAATGTTTCTCTTCCCAAATCCTCACCAGAAACAAGGGCAGCCAGAAGGAAATTATTCTGTTAGGAAACATTTGATACAAATAAGAACTGCTGGAAATACCCCATGTTCCCCACCCCTACCCTTTAAGCAGCAGTGAAGATCAAACTGAGATCCCAGTTGGCATGGTGGGAGGAGGGAGGGATGAACCATCAAAAATCCCATTGCAGGTGATGCTAACTTTACTACAGGTAGTCGTCGAGTTGCAACCAAAATTGAATCCAAAATTTCTGTTGTGCTAAGGCAGTTATGGTGAACCTTTTCGGCACTGAGTGTCTTAAAAATTGTGCAGAAACATCACGCATGGATCTACGCACTCGTCAGGGCTGTGCTCCAGAAAAGCCAAACTTCCGGGTTCTAGCACACATATGCATCCAACAGTAAGCTAGTCGGTGTACATGTGCACACCGGTTTTCAGCACTGCTGCATGTGTGAAGGGATCGAGCTCTGGAAAAGCCAAGCTTCTGGATTTTGACATGCATGCGCATTTGACGATCAGCTGGCTGGTGCACATGCAGTTTTTTGCCACTGCCGCACATGCGAAGGACAGCTGATCCTCTGGCACATGCACGCCAAAAACCTAGAAGACAAACAAGCAAGGCCATGCATGCCAGGTGATATGGCTTTGCATGCCACTTTGGGCACGCATGCCATAGGTTCGCCATCACAGTGCTAAGGGAAACATTTGTTGAGTGATTTGGGGCCATTTTGCGATTTTTTCTTCTCGTGATTATTGCATTTGTTAAGTTAGTAACATGGTGGTTAAGAGAAACTGGATTCCCCATTTTCTTTGCTTGTCAGATGGTTACAAAAGCTGATCAGGTGATTCCAGGATATTGCAACCATCATAAAGATGAATTGGTTGCCAAACCAATTTTGGAATTTTGATTGTGTGACCATGGAGATGCTGCAATTGTAAGTGTGAAAAACGATCATAAGTCCCTTTTTCCATGCCATTGTAACTTTGAACAGTCATTAAATGAAGTATTGTAAGACGAGGACGAAAGGAGAAGGAGAAAATCTCTGAAATTAACACCAAGCAAA